GGCAATAAAACGTCTGGGGGCTTGCTCATCTGTAGCTTACGTTGAACACATTCAGCAATTTCAATTAAAAGAAACTGCCTGTGCAAGAGCTCCAGCGAAGTGCAATCCAACAGAACAGCACTGCAGCGCTGCGGTAAAGGCAGTCAGTCAGAGGTGGTTTCGAGTGTTTCTGATTGCAAGGTAAAAAAAAAAGCAAAGGAGCTCACCGTTTCAAGCTGTTGTTTGCGAATGTGAGGCTGCAGCAGCAGAGAAGAGGCTTTGTAACGTTCTATGTTGAACTCAATCTGTTGCATAACAATAGGCGCCCCTCACGCACAAGCACATGCCTACCCTGTGGGGAAAATCTCTAGTTCTGAACTGGTGCGCTTCAAGTACATTTAGACCCAGTACTGGTTCGCGAAAAATTTCTTTTGCATGCAAACAACTGGCGATGTCCTAGGAAGGGTCAATTAATTGCTCCCCGCTGCATCCTTTTTTCGATAGTTCCGAACTAGCCCTAAATTCTATGTATACCTTTGGCTGTAGCTGACTTTCCAGAGGTGCTCGCTGTTAAAATGTTAACACAAACTTTTGTTTTGTATTACCAAACTATTTTACATATGTAAAGTAAACAAGCCCCCGCTGCATCCTTTTTTTTATATTTCGCAACCAGTTCTAAATTCGTCACCTTATATATAGATTTCCAATGAAAAAAGTGAAATAAAACAGTTTTTTTTTTAGAGTACCACATTTCGCTGATTTTGAATTGGTGGGGATCTAGTTACTATCGGACTGGTTCGTTTTAGGCAATAAAGATCTTGTAAGGAACTAGTCCGCGGCTTCCCTGCAGGATACCTATCACCTTATTGGACTGCGTTCAAATGTCTGAAATGTCTTGTTTATACCAATGTAAAAACCGCATTTACAAAACACCGATTTGACTCAACACATATTTCTTTCACACGTTTATATCTGTGTCTTTATAGAGCACTCGCTGAAACCGTGTTCAAAAGTAGACGAAATTTGTTGTTTTCTTTCGATATTTCTTTAATAAATTATTTGCGCGATTGACTGAAATGGAAGCGAACAATTTAAAATTATTATAATAATAATTCAAATTTTAAACGGGGTGTATAAAGAAAAACAAGCCTATTTTCACTTCGCTTGAAATGGGTGATGTGTTTTCATCTGTTTTCTAACCGATGTAAAAAATAAAAAACCGATTTGAAAACAAATTCGACTCAATACACTTTTGAATTTCTGAGCGTATTAAAATTTGGTGTATGCATCCGTTTGAATTACAACGAACTGGGTCAAAGCAACAAGGTATGTGTATGCGTCGATATGGCTGAGTGGCTGCGTGGGTGAGTATGTGGTTGATTAAGACATCCGGTTTTGCTTCCATTTCACTCCATCGGATGCTCTGCGACTTTGTTGTTGAGGAAAAACGTATTGTGAAGAAAGGGAAGTGAAACAATCGAAAGTAAGTGCTTAAAATTAATTTTATACTTGAGGCCACGTGCTACCTATTATAATAAAATAAAACTAAACTAAATGCTCATCTACATGGAATCTTCGCGTTGGCTTTGGCTTCGGCATTGATTTGACAATACGCACGTTAAAAGTATGCTTGCTGCAATGAACGCTTGGCAGCGCATGCTTTGTCCACTAAATTGGCATACTAACGACAGATGATAAACTAATATTTCATATCAATGAATCCAGAAAAAAACAATATTTCTTGCCCGTATTTGATTAAAAATGGAAAATATTTCACATAATTGTATTTACTTGCAACAGCTGACTAACGACGCACGCGAAAAGTTGAGAGTTGGCCATCTGCTTTGTATCGACGTTAGAGGTGCCGAATTTCGGACAGCTACATTTGAACTCATTGACTCATAGGGCTGGTTTCTCCAACTCAACTTATCTTTGTTCAGCGATTTTTTGGACTTAAGTCAAAAGTTGGCCTACTTTTTTCACAGCTTATTCTTGATTAACCCCTCTATTCTAGCAGAGTCACAAAACTTAGCTCATCACTCAAGGTGGATATATATAAGGTGGTATCGATTCAACAAATACAACAACTACTTGTATTTTGTTTTTGCGTTTAGCGCGCCATTGTCAAATTTCAGCTATTCTTCCCCGAAGGAAAAATGGGGACAGAAAATACAAACACTCTCACGTTTTCACTCACTTACTAGTGAAATACAAAATTTTGACAATCGAACGCTACTCACAGCTGATAAAACAACACCACCTTATATAAATTCGCCTTGTCATCACTGTTGTGATTTGAAGTGCGCCGAGAAATGTGTAAAAAAAAATTCGATTTTGAGTGCTAGAAAAATACACAAGAATTTAAAAAATTGAATTCAAGCGGCATATTTTTTGAGCGGCAAGCTTTGAGGCGCGGTAGAAATCGCAGCAGTGATGAGATACAGTTTGTGACTTTGTAAGAATACGGCTGTAAGTATAAAAAAATTGGCTAAACTAAGTTGAGTTGGAGAAACCAGCCCATACAGGCTAACCTAATATTCACGCACGCCGCCAATTTACTGTCAAAAATTTCTCATGCACATGCAACTTGTATGAGATCAACCGAAATTGAACGGCGTGCGTATGAAGCTAACTCAATTTCCAATTTTTGTTATGCGTGACATTTTGATTTGACGTTTCGCTCAATGAAATCAAATGCAAACGCATGCAAGTCAATTTCGGGTGACGCAAAAAAACAAATTCAGCTGTTGAAGCGACGCCAACGTCAACGCAACGCCAACATTGTATGTTGACGAGCCTTAAGGCATGCCCTCGGGTCATTATCGTTACGATTCTAGTAACGCATTTTAAGCATTTATAATACAGTTAGGCTACTCTGTCTCTCAAGGCCTTATTTACGCATTGCCAATGTACCAGTGATGTTCAAAATTGTATATTCGAGTATGTATGCATGTATGTAGTTCTTTGAAAATACTAATTAATAAAATACTATGTATTTACCAGTTGACCACGCAATTGGGGAAAGTTTTTGGTCGCCATGCACCAGGAAGTATCCAAAAGCGATTATTTTTCGCCCCTACAAGTAGCTCGATATTTCCATTTTTTTAAATAATTCCATTGTTTACAATAACAAGGCGGTGGTCTAAGCGAAACATTGTTGTCTCAAATTGCACAGCATTAAATGTCTGAAATTGCACAGAATATAAAATTGTCCTCATGAAACACACTGCGCAAAGTTTCCCAATTGACCAAATATGAAACTTGCGCGAATAGATGAGGGCCCTTAGATAATTTCGTTTATGTATTTAGGAACCAGCATTAACGCCCCGAAATCTGACGCCATCATCTTTTCGAGAGAAAGATTCTGCGGAAGATTTACGACCAATGAGCTGTATGAGCTTAAAAACTACGTATATAGACATAGTGCGGCGAATAAATACATGGCATGTCGTACGTATGGACAGAAACGCTCCTGCTCTGAAAGAGTGAAAGGAATACCTATTGTGCGATGGAAAGACCAGTTAGAAAAGATTTTGGCTCCACTTGGCATTTCCAATTGGCGTCAGTTGGTACAGAAGAGGAATGGACCGGTCGGCCAGAATCGCTTAGGCGGTTACAGCGCCAATAAAAAATTAATCCAGCATCACTGCCCAAAAACTTTTTTGCGCAATCTGAATGCTGTTAAAACAATAACAACAACAAAAGAAATTGTGTTTTGGAACGATGTAGGAAACTTGAACAAAAATGAGATATATAACACACATCAACGGAGCTGCCCTTCCGTACTTGCCGCCCGTATCAACACATACATACATAATTGTGCTGATGATAGAGGGAGAAGCAACGATAACGTCACGATCATGCGGTGGTGAGTTTTCATTAACACGGAAATCCCGGTCGGTGGGTACTTAGCCAGATATAAATATGGGTCGTTCCGGTTACGTAGACCCGACTGATTGTGAGTGCTTCGGTGCGAACAAAATTTCATACTCTAGCAAATTATTGTAAGTTTTGGTGTTTTCTGGGACCGAAAATATGCATATAATCATTTGTGTTTACTATTGTAAGAAATTATTCTCTTATGCACTCCAGCTATCACATTTTTGCGATTTTCTATTAAATTTATGAATATGGGCAAAAATCAGCTTATCATGGAGTTATCATCATATGTTACATATTATGTACATAAAAAAGGAGTGCATACATAACTGTGGAAAATTTTACAAAATTAAGCAAATCTTAAAATTACATACCGATATATTTTATTAATGTCTGATGTATGTGTGTGAATGAAAATTTATCTGATAAATTGATTTTGTAAATATGTACGTTTTTATTTTATTTTGCCATTTGTGTATAAATAATGATTAGGTTTCGTAATACTAACACTGTTTTTTTTTTTTTTTATAACTAGGTCATATAGACAATTATCGCATATTTTGATTATATCTTACCAGCGACATGTTATTAAATAAAATTATAACGCGCTCAGGTATTGAAACGAAACATTTCAATTTTTGTAAAATATGTACCAATCTAACAAAAAAGTGTTGAGTTTAGCTCTTATTAACTAACTTCAAAAAAAGGATGTGGTTATCAATTCGTCGGAATATTTTTTATGTATCTTACCACTTTTTACCACGTTGACCGGTTTCTAGAATTACTAAAAAGATCATGATGAGAGGATCATGAAGAAATTAACGGTTCTCTTAAAATTTTATATGAGAATTAAAATCGGTTCTGTTTTTTGCTTACAAATTACTTGTTTTTATTTGTTGTTATGTAATATTGCTTATGTGGATGGTAAACGCTTTAAATATAGTATAACGAATTAGGTGTGAAAGGAACATGGAATTTACAGGATTATAATTGTAGATTATAGAATTTTTAACCTTTTTTTACTTAATATCTGTCTGCTTGCGCCATCTTATTAGAAGGTTCAGCTGAAAATAAATTGTCTAGAAGCAGTAATTATTATTATTACTTTAATTTGAAGCATGAAAACAAGAACACAATATTACCACATACATATTTATTTTACACAACCTTTGTTTTATTATTTGTTTGTTGTTTTTGAGTGAAACGACTGCATACATAAGTTGACTAAATTCAAATGGGGATCAGGACGGAGTGGGTATGAACATATATATTTACACTACTACTAAAATGGTATGTTCGTATGTATTGAATACTTTCTTAGTAAGGGGATGTTTCGGGGCGAAGGCAAATAATATACCTTACGATACGGCCATTGTCAGCCATTGCACTGATGCGCTGCGACGATCGGCGACGATGAAGATTACGATATTCACCATAGGGTCGATAGACTCTAAAAAAGGTCTGGAAACCTTTTGTAGCCGATACAACAACAAAAATATATATTATGATTGTGTGATTTGGTTTCTAGGAAATATTGTCTAAGAAAACAACAAAATCCGTCATTTAGGGATCGATGCACGGGCTGTTTGCAATTAAGTAAAATAAATGAATTACATTTTGCAGGTCTGCAATTGACCTTATAATATGGCCAACATTCACACCCAATGTGATACTTTAATTATTCGCGCAATATTAAAATTATTATTGCAAAGTCGAGCAAGCCCATCTTTAAAGTATGTATTACAAAAGGATTCAGGTAAAATAAAATGTTCAACCCATCCTAATGTACATACCCCAAAAAAAAAATTATTATATGTGCAATACTTCCACTTCAACTGGTTTAATGAAAAACCAATACTAGATCTTTGATGTTTTTTCCCTATGATTGGATTCATTAACTCTATCAAAAAGAATAAATGTAAACGACTTTATATGCTTTAGTATGTTTTAGTTTATAACAAGATAATTTAATTGTACCATTATGCTGAAGTTTTCATATAAAATATTTATATGTGCAAAGAAACAAGTTGTAGTTTATGAATTATTTAAAAAAAAAATTTTAAGACAATTTTATTTGTTGGTATTGGTTTAGATTTCTATTTCACAATTTTGTTTGTTTTGCCCTTCGCGGCATAGATTTTACCGAAATTTTGTAGTAAAATTTTTATTATTTCCTCCTATTTGTGAAGTTTGGTTTATATAAGTTTCAACGCGTTATTATTCTGTTTCGAATAAGTAAAAATCTTGTTGAGGAGTAGATCTTACAAATTTTCAGTGGTATTAAAGCCCATATTTGAAGCTTGATACCCTAAAAGAAGTATTTCGTTCCTTGAATAACAACTTTGTTGGTCGCACGATAAGAATAACAACGTTTTACCGCTGCGATTTCCAAAAAACCTTCGGTCGAAATGCCCGAAGATTTTTCCAATTTAATGCGCAAACAATGTTTCAACTTCTGGATATCCACTTTTGTCAAATTTAAACTGCTTTATTTCTTTTTAAAAGCTATACGATTTTACTTCAAATCAAAGATCCATTTTGCCGAGAACAGGTTTACCACTTGTTATGGTGAGCATCTGGATCAATTATATTGAAGTTTTTTTCATCACTGAAAATAACGGTTTTCAAGTCTGCCTACAACATTTCTTATTTTATTCAGCTATCTGATTACTTCAGCAGTTATGTAGCTACCTTTCATGCCACAAAAGTTCATTCCTGTTATACTTCCGGGCTCTTCTTTAGATATTGCAGTGCCACGGGATATTATGGGCCATAATATAACATGGACAAGTAAGAAAACGGTTTTTATTATGAATTATTTGGGCAGTTTTCTGTTGAAAATTTTTAACACTGGAGCATGCGGAAGCTGAATAATTCATTTTGCACATATAACTATTTACTATTGAGTATTAACTATTGTTTGTGATAACGGTAGTTAAAATTATAAATGAATATCAAGTTTCATAATTGCATACAGCAAAAAGTTTTACCCTTCTTTAATAGAGCGAAAATGCACACATAATTCTTTTACTGGGGTACATATGAGTGGTCGCAAACAAACAAAAGTAGCCCCATTATTAGAAACTTTCATACGATACGACGATAAACGCTTGTAAACGTATCGTATGAAATCAGTTTTCGTGTATTAACGATTTCATATCCGCGACAGGTGCGATATTGTGTATTTTTTATTGTGAATTTGAATTTGAGAAATCAACTGGTGTTTCAAAAATACAAGTAATACTATTTGAACCAACAACCTCGAGGAAGGCATAAGGAGACTAACACAATAAACGCTTACCATCGATGCGTACGTAAATTTCGTCACCTTGATATGGAAAAACTAACTGGACTGAGAAACTGAACAAAAGTTAAAAATCCACAGCTAAACATACTGAAATTTGTATCTTGATTTTGCAAATAAAAAATAACTTAAGGTCTTTCTATTTTAAGGTAACGATATGTATGTACCTACATACATACATGTACATTCGTGGATTGCATTCGCCCTGAAACATCCCCAAAGTATGAAGCAATAATACGTTAAAATTTCAAAAAACAAATTCTCCTCTGTATATTCAATTTATGCATTTTATTCACTAATACAAATTTTGGGTTTAATATTATTTAACTTTTCGAACGTTAATTCATTTTTTTTTTTTCATAGTATATGTATGTATGCAAGTACTGTATACTTTGCTATTGTATTTAACATACATATTTATTGCAATAATTAACAATTAAAACTCAAAAGTAATAGACAACAGCACATCCAGTTAATTCAATACAAGTCTTGTACATAAGTGTGTAGAATGTACAAATGTATGTACATATATATGTAGGTAGACAAAAAGTTGTAATATCTAATTTGCTTGTCTGAATGTTTATATGTATATTCTCTTCTTTTGTTGAATTGCTTTCAAATTTCATTTCAAAGATTAGCAGTCGAAAACTGCAATACTTCACTTCATACAGATAATCAGCACACACAGATAATCATAATAATAAACATTGCAGTTGAAAATAAAAAATTATAATGAAACGAAAAATTGCATACAAATATCCAAACTATACAGTAAATAATATGTGATGCATTTACGCTATTAGATATCATTGGAATATGTCGAAGGCTTGCGCTTGTAGTTGGTTATTGTTGTTGTTGTTGCCGCCGCTTTTCGGTTGCTGTGGCTGCGCCAAATTAATTGCACTAAAATTGGCAAACAATTGTGTTGTTGTTGCGGCTGCTACTCCGGTTGGTTGTTGTAATTGCGGTGGAATGTTTTGTGGTGCAGCGGCAAAAAAGGCACCGCCTGGAATGCCTATGGCAGCAGATGGTAGACCTGTGGTTACTTGCGCACCACCAGTTGTTGGTGCGCCAAAAGTGGGACTTGTCAACGGTGAGATGCCACTACCGCCAAGTGCATTAAAGCTACTGACTGATTGCACCGCCAAAGGCACATTGTTGTTGCTAATGCTGGCGCTGCCTGTCTGGTTCGTTGGGCTTTGTGTTTTTAAAGCATTCATCGATAGTGCTGGCGCATTCGCCTTATTTAACTTGCTGTTCAACAAGTTATCCAGATCGATTTTTAGATTTCCAGCTTTTAAATTATCAGACCAAGTGGCACCAACATTTTGGGCGACGATCGATTGCGTGGTGGCATTTGTTACCGCATCCAGTGTTTGCGGTTGCTGGTTGTTGTTATTAGCGCTGATGGGTTGTAGTAGATTGTTGTTATTGTTTGCAATTGGTGGTAGAATATTGTCTGAAATAAGAAAGAAAATTTATAGATTCGTGCATAGATTTTCCAGATAATTTTAAGTGTTTTAGGAAAAGATGGTGAAGTTGAAAAGAAATCGAAAATATGCATTATCTGTACATACTAGGGCTGGGAGTTCTATCTGGGTTTTTTTTGAATATTAACCGAATATCCGAATAACAAAAGGAACCAGACTTCCGGATTTTATCCGAATATACGGATAGCCTCAGCCCGAGTACATGCATATGTATAGGATTTATAGCCTAGAAATAAATACATAGGTGTTGGTTAGAGTTTTATTGTGATGCTGAAGAAAGATACATTGAAAAAGTGTGAAATCTGGAAAGCATTTAAACAAGAAGCAGATAAAGTATAAAACAACTGAAACAAATAAAAACGTTACTAGCACGGTATTTTAATATACACCTACAATGGCGATCAAAATCAAGTGAGCACAAGAGCCAATGATATTCTACAGCTGGAACTGCGCGCACAAGACGTTGCGGCTATTATTTTAATTTCATTGTTCATAATTGGAATATGCTGTGAGTTCGTACTTATATTAAATTGGAGTCAATACAAGAAGTAGTATGCAACTATAAAACTCTGCGTATACAATGTTCCTAAAATTCTCATTGCCACAGTATGTATTTATGTATGTACAGAATGGTCCAAAAATGCATGTGAAAAAGTAAAGTCGGAATTTTTAAGCTATCACCCCTTTGGATTGTTGTATACCGAAAAAATATACCCTTATTTTTATTTCGAAGTCAAAAAATATTTAAAGGTCGCTCAAAGCGCTCAAAGTTTTCCTTGTATCTTATATGGAAAAAACAACTTTTCGTAGAAATTATTATATATATTTAACCATTTCACAGTAACTATATTTTGTAGGTCCGCAAAAATCCAAAGAAAACGCAATGGGGGAATAAATTAAAAAATGTGTATTAAAAAATGGTTAAATAAACAATTTGTTATGTTTATTGCCCAGCAAAACACAGTCTCTAATGTTAGAGAAACTTGGATTTCTACAAAAGATAACTAGGGTAATTCTCTAATCGGTCTCGAGTCAATGACGAAGTTAGAATTCGATTCGAGAATGATTAGAGAAACAACGCAAATTCAAATAAATGTAAATAAGCAATCTTCCAAAAGAAAGAATCATAAATTATTTTTAAGTTCAAATAATTCATTATTGTTTTATTGCAAATACATTTAATACAAATTTAGGAAACAAAGCATTTTATTTAGTAACGCAAAACAGCACTTTGAAATTCACATTCGAATCCCATTAGAGATCCCCATTAGAATTCGATTAGAGAATTAATATTTTCTCGAGTCGAGAACTATGTCCCATTTTTGTTGAGATCATTATGATTCTCGATAGTTTTTCGAGTAGTTCTTTAACGTTTGAGATTGGAGAATGTGGCTAGTTCTCCAATCATTCTCTAATCGATAACTAACCTCAATGTTTGCTGGGTGGAAGTCTCCTGAAAAGAGAGAGAGATCGGAGTTTTCCGATCGAAAAATATTGGTTTTCAAGAATTCTATACCATTTCTGCGAAAAGTTATTGTTTGAGCGCTTTGAGCGATCTCTAAATAAATATTAATTTCAAAATACAAAATTGGGGTATAATTTTTTCGATATAGAACAATCATAGAAGGCGAGAGCATTAAAATTTAGACTAAACTTATTTTGGACCACCCTAATGTACACACATATGTAAGTTGCAAACTGTGCTGTCTCTAGAATAGCAAAGCTCGGGCCTGGTTGCGATTAATATCGTAACTGAACCCAAATCTATCAATGTTCATTGCATCGAAGCCTATAAAGGAAATAGCGAAGAACAGATGGAAATTAGCCATTTTTTGCTTTTCAGCAATTGCTACCAATACTAGGTGTATTTTATTTGAGCTGCATACTTAAAATCTTCAGAAATTGGCCTGAAGAAGTTGGAATGTATACTTCGAAAAAATCTGGTGTTCTAGTTTATTACCCCACTAGAACTTGAAAGGAAGCAGCTCCTAAAGTGAGGAATAAAAATAATACTCCCTCTGACGTGATTTCAGAGCTATAAGCGAGGTTTTTCAGTTTTGTACTCCGTGATTACTTTCTTAGGAGCAAAATGGGAGATCCAAGGTAGCAATAAAATAATGCTAACTTTGACATGACTTTTAAGCTATCTATAAGCGAGATTTTTCAGTTTTGTCCTTCATAATTTTTCGCTTGGGAGCAAAAAGCGACACCTCCCAAAGTGACAGATCCAGGAGTTTTATTTTTATAGCATAGACAGGGGGCAACGTTAATCTGGATTAACGGCGCAGTTGTACCATGACAGACGGAGGTATTGCGAATCCCACTGCCAGATTTTTTTTTCTATACTTTTAACCCCTTCAATTTTTACTTTTCAATTGTGATTATGGCTGCTTTGGTCTTGAAATAATTATATTAAATAACATAAAACAAAAAAGCAACAGTAAAATAAAATACTAAAATAAAATATAAATATGTATATACATATAATTAAAAAATAATAAAAACAAAAATTATTTTTACTCGGCTACCGCGGACGCCAAACCCGCTTGCTTAATTTACTTGTTTGTTCAGAGCGTAGAG